TGGTTTTTGACATACCTGGCGGAGCTCGAGGATCTGACAGGGCGTAAAAATTGGATGGATGCATTTGCGACCAGGGCAGGACACAGCCTGTTTTTCTCGCTGCAGCGATTCGCGTGTTGTGAAAGGGCTGTGAGGTATGATGAACACCTGTAATATGCGTACGATGGGACAAAGCGTATACCTTTGTAGTTAGAGCACATTGTGCACAAACCAATTTTGAGGATAGGGATGACTATCGACTCACCCTAACTAAGTGGAACCTCCTATTTTGACAAGACTTCGGATAACAAGGCAGTGAGTTATCGAACCAGCGAATAGTCCCAATCCTTTTTACTTAGAGCAAGAAATAAACCATCAGGTTTTGGTGTTTTATAGCGTTTCAGGAGACGGAGTTCCTGCCAGGTTTCTTGGTGAGAGAGAAGGAACTGTGGAGGTAGACCACTCAACACCAGTGAAAGTTCAAGAGAAAGCAGATGCAACTGGCGGCCAGCAAAACTTCGATCCAGGATGTTCAGACCATTGCTCCAATCATCGCCATAATTTAATGATAAATGAGCCATCCTCTTGACAGATTGGTTCCTGCATACCAACTAAGAAACCGGATGAGATGGAAAAGTTTTCTAGTATTACCCAGTGACGAACAACTTCCAACTAATTGACGCGGTTAAATCACTCGGCTTCACTGCTTTTTGGAAACGTATGAGCAGTTCTCGATCCACGGATCGGCATTCTTCACTAAAGGTGGTATCCACGGAGACCTAGCGGCATCTATCCATCAACGACAGAGGTCCAAATTTTCGGTGGATGAAGGGCAATTACAAAACTGTCAATACCGGCAGAAACTAAAGCGTCTTTGATGCGCAGCCATTGTGAATTCAGATCATCATTAGTAGCTGAGCCAACCAGTGTTGCAAGATGGGTCTGGTAATTGGCTAACACCGTAGGATTTTGCAGGTTTTCTACGTTCAGTCGCTAGTGCATACGCCTCGGTGATTCTCCGAAATGCAGGCAAAACTTAGCGCGAACCAGTGATTGGTCGAAGTTCAGACATTTTGATCATAACGATGGGCAGTCTGGTACGTTTCCGCGCCATCTGGTCAGGCTAGGACCACTGTCGTGTTTATGAAGGCAGGCGCCAAGTAGCAGTCGGTCTCGTCGAGTACCAAAAGCTAGTGCTCGATATACAACAAACGATGATCAGAACAATTAGTGTGTAGTCTGTCCCCAAAGTCTGATTGGCTGTTACCGAGACCAAAACTACCCACCAGATGATGTTCGTCTGAATGTATGCGGCCCACTCTTGCTTTAAGTTCTCTGGTGATAATGACAATGTTAGACCTTCTTAAGGAATGCAGGTCATATACTTGTTGATAAAAGCAATCCTTTACTACACCTGTGCTGCGGTCTTTGGAAGCATAGGCTTCGACGACATACAAGGGACGTCTAACATCTTGACGCTTACGTAACTTACATGAACCTTGTAGTCTGGCTGCGCATGTCCGACTATTGAGTTGGATCCAGTCAAGCAAAGCGCTCTAGCCGTCACTCGGTGCAACCCCAACACCAGCCTGGCCAGAAGCGGCAGCCTCTGGGTCCCCGGAAGGGCGAAACTGGTATTTGACTTCAGGTTTTGCCGAAGAGGTCATTCTGGTGATGGTACTGGCGTCTTGCAATCTGCTTTGCGAAGGACAGTAAATGTCTAGCCAGAACGTCTCGAAGCTGCGAGCCAGGCATGCTTGCCGCCCGATCTGTATCGAGGTTGGAACATTGAACGATTAAGTTTGAATGGAGAACCGGGTCCAACAAAAGTTGGTGCCTTTGTGTGGCGTGATAAGGCTGTGACCACCGGGCATCGAACACCTATTTTGACTCTTACCTCCGTCAAGTGCAACCAGCGACATTTTGTTGGCGGTGACTGGGAAGGACATAGGTGTAGTTCTAGAACGAGGCGTGGGACGATCTGTGAGTGCAGGTTGAGCAGGGGTGTCAGTACAGTCATTAGACATTGCAAGTATGGACGCAGTAGTATGACCCATTCATGATTTGTCAGTGGAAGTGGTACTACTCAATTGCCCAGGCAGAAGCAGAGGGTTCTCTTAAAGGGCGCTACCTTGAACTTTTGAGCAAGGGTCTAACCTACATCGCAGCAGAGTGATATGAGGGCTTCGCAACCCATTGAGAGCAGGCAACTAAGCAAGTTTTTCACCCACCTTTAGGTCCACAAAGTACCAGAGGCTTAACATACCCTGGAGTTACAATGTCACTCGGAGAGAAACAAGGGGAAGTGACTTTATTTGCTGGCGAGTCACATCCGCCACGACACTATGTTGTCAAACGGACATATGTGACTTTCTATAGGGACAATGCCTGCCAGCCGAGAACCCACCACTTCGTACAACACTGCCGTCAAACCATGCGCTGAAACTGAATAATCCCGAGCCACGCAGCTGGCACCACGAGGAGGTAGTTCGGCAATATATGTATATATATATATATATATATATATTGAACGCAGTTAATAAAACAAATAGCTGTGTGCCAGGATGTATGGACAGACATAATAATATAATAATAACAAGGAAATAGATAGGGTAAAATAGTGTATAATTGGAATGATGGGGGCAGAATCTCACAACATGTTCGTCATTGCTAATGGTTTCTTGAAATGTTCGAGAAGGTTTCCAGCCAAGTGGTTCATGGCTTTTGCGCTCCGGATCAGAGAGTAGGCAACGCCCGACCGCTGTCACATGTGAAGTCAACGCCTTCATACTTGTAGCCCAAGCCATTCGCTGGTGACCTTGTCTTCGCTTCCAGCCAACTTCTGTGCGCGCAAAGAGTGTACGATGAGGCAGACGCCCAGTGGACATGCGAAGCACGTGGCCAAACCACCGAAGCCTAAGCAGTATATATATATATATATATATATATATATATATATATATATATATATATATTGCAATAGTCTATGAATAGACATTGAGCCATCGGAAACCATGGAACTCAAACCAGGTACAGAAATAGTAAAAGAAAACACAACACAACACATCAAAGTCCATGGTTTCGTCAGTGGGTGAGATATTACCCGGTTACCCAAGCCGAAGTAAAGTGTTGACTTAGGGAACACCACCCCGTGCCTTTGGCTGAATAGCCTGCCCGCAATGCAGCGGAGAGAATTCAGGGAATCGCGCCCATTGGGAGCCGGTGACTGATTGCTCAGTTCATACACCTTTGGTTTGTTCCTTTGTCAAACAGAGGCCTAATGCTCCCAAAATTACTGCATAAACTTGCTGGCATACAATGCATCGCCAGGATGAACTAAGGGGCAGTGACTTTATTTAGTGGCGAGTCACGTCCTCCACGTCACAGAGTTGTTAAACGGACATATGTGACTATTTATAGGGAGAACGCATGCCAGGCGAAAACCCACCACGTCCTGGAACACTGCCGCCGAAGCATTTGCTGGAACGGAAAAATCCCGAACCACCCGGCTGGCACCACGAGGAGGTTGTTCGGCAAGCCAGCCAAATATTGAAACAGCTCATAGTTACTCCACTTTTACTTGCTTCACAACAATGCGTCGTATCTATGATATCCTACTTTTCGCGAAGAAATGTAAAAGGCGGAGATTTATCACAGTGACAAAATAAATACGATAAATAGTGTGTCAGCTGTACACCGTAACGGCGCTTCACTGCCGCGCGACCACCACCAGTCGAGCGCGGGCTGAGTACACCGCGAGGGGACCCACGCCTACGCGGATTCGGACCGGTGACCTTATGGTTGTAAACCAAACGCGAAGACCACATGGTCACCGGCCGAGTTTTCTGCAGAAGGCAGAAGATTGCATATTATCTGTTTCTAAGTCTTTGTTAACTATCTATTGAACTATATCTTTAAATAAGTCGAGTAGTAATACCAACTACTATAGGCAGAGTACAATGAACAATGATTTATCACGGGATAAAAACAAGTGTTTGACGACTCCCGTAGGATGGTTGGGGTGCATATGATGAAATCAAAGTAAATCTGGGTCATCTACCGAAAATCTGCCCAGATGAATACTTTGATAAATTACATCAGTGTAAAATTTTAAAAAAATCGAGCGTAAACGTTCAGGGGGTGCAGTGATCGTCGATTTAACTCGTGAGAAAAGTAAAATATGGTCGCTTACTTGGGTCCATATGATACATAAGTCCTGTTGAAAAACATGCTTGGCGTGATCCACAATTGATGAGTTTACATAACAAAGTGTTGGGAGCTAGGAGCGAAGAGTGAGGAAAGATCAAAATTCAAGCTGTCTGCGCTTTGATTGAATTGTCTTGGAGCAGTATATTGATAAAAGAACCTAATTAGTTAAGAACCTTGTCAATATTATTAGACTGTCCCTACTTATCCGGGGTTGGCATGGGTTGCTTGAGTTGATACTGGACCCAGGATGCAAGTTGCTTTAAAAACGCTACATTTCTGCTTTTGATTTTCATGGGCATTTGTAAATGTTGCCGCTTACATCAATCGTACGAGTGGCCTCGCAAAATATTTTCTGCCATTTTCCTGGTTAATGTGATCCGGTTGTCCTCCTTAAACGGTTAATGCTTTAGGACAGTTTTGTTCTGTTATGTAAAATCATGCCAAGATACCCGGTAGCATTAATGATCATCTATCCTGGGACGGTATCAAAAGTACACTATCCAAAACGTCGAATCCGTTCTTACTGAGCCACTAATTTAGTGTGCTGATAGTGGTGTCAAACTGAGATTCATTTGGTAAACTAACTTGCGCTTCCTTTTCTCACAGGGTTTTTAAAGTTGAAATCAGGACTAGCCACGTACAAACTATTGTTGTTTCAAGCTAGATAATGTGTAACTACATGATGGGGTTCAGTATTTATTAAAAGCAATTACTTCAATGATGAAGTTGAACACCAGAAGACTGTTGTACATGTGTACCATATTTTGAGTTTAGTTCAATTCATCTTTTGAGCTTTTTTGCCATTTTCGTAGTTGGATATGGTCAAGCTTACTCAGTTGGTCGGCCAAAAACTGCTGTTCGAAGGCAAGCATGAGGAAGCGGTGCCTGCCGCTTTACAGTGTCTGAAGTTTACAGCCGAGGCCTATGGACTAGCTAGCGCTGAGCTTGTCTCACCCTACCTAATTCTTGCTGAATCCAGCATCGGTAAGTTTAGCTAACACTAACTTGTAACTAGTGATACGATAATATACTAGGTTTCACCTTATAATGTCGAATAATTTTAATGTTTTCGATCGAATGTACAATTACTTCCCGATGCATAGCTATTATTTGCGTAAATTCAACGCCTGAAGCGTATACTCAAGAGAAACCACCGCCAGTAAGCTTTTGTTAACTAATATAGTGGAAAGACTTAGTTGTTTTATTCTCATAAGCGTTAATAACACTGCAGACATCTGGTTTTTCTTATCCGCTAAAGCAAAAGTTCAGGTATACACTATGTTTTCTACAGACAAAGTTGGGCACTTTAAATCCTTGTTTATAAGCGGCTTACCATTTCTCAAGGCTCTGACCAACACACTTTTTTATCTGAGCTGTACTCGATCAAGTTGCAGAAGTTACGGTTTCCAAAAGGTCGAATAAGTCTAGAACATAGTGAAGTGTAATGACTTGCGCATGTCACATTCCGTAACTTAAAATGGTGGTACCCTCCGTATTCGCTTCAAGTACACCTGCCAGATTTGTTAGTGACTTTGAATAAAATGGACGAATACCGAAAAGTAAATGGATCTTAGCGTCGTGCAATGTCTTATGGTGCTATCCGACCTATTGAGATGAGGTTGGTGGCCCACTAGCAATTGGAGTGTTACTCACGCTGTCTTACCAATAATTAAAAGCAACATAGGTTCAATTTCATTATTTGTATTACCACCTGTCTATACTTGAGTTAAGCCACTTTCTGTAAAAAAGATCCATTATGCAGATACTTGCCGAACTCATGGTCTAAATACTTTGTTCGAAAAAGGAAGCATTTGTTAAAGACGCTGAACATTCTCCCTTATGGGTTTAGTGACAATAGTAGTGTCCACATCAGCACATCACAGTGACTTTTCCCTCCTACTCTGCTTTTAACCTATAAAGCAGTTCACACAGTTTCAAGAATACCACGGTACCTCTAATATATAAACGCCATGGCTGTCGCTTATCTTTCTTTTTTACTTTTTCTATTACACCACCGATTCCCAGTACCAGGTTACCCTTCATAATCCCAGTGTAGATGACTGCTACCACATCTCTACCAAAGCTCTACCATCAATCTCAACTTCATCGCTGTATTCACTGGCATTGGGTTGCCAATGGAGTTATCGCTGCCGTTAACATTTACCTTTGTTCCAAACATAACATTTGAATAGCAATTAGATTTATTTGAGCTGACACGCCTTTGTCAACGGGAAACACTTTTATTTTTACCGGAGTTCTGATAGCAATGAACTCGTCGAATGCACTTTCAGTATATCCTTCAGTAGTAAAGCATTTCTCATGGAGGAAGTTATTCAGGTGCTTGAAAACGTGATAATCGCCAGACGAGAGATCAGGAGAGTATGGTGGTTGTAGCAAAGTTTCTCAGCCCAGCTCATTCAGTTTCTTAATGTTCGGTTGTGCGACGTTCGTCGAGCGTTATCGTAGCGAAGAACTTGCCCCTTTCTGTTGGCAACTGCATTACACACTTGTTGAGCTTTTCGGTGTAGTTGGGCAATTGGTGGACAATACTTCTCCGCTGTCATGTTTTCCCTTGGACCTAGAAGGCTGTACAGAATCAACCTGGTCAGATACTACCAAACGCTCACCCTTACCATTTTTGGGTGCAATTTCGGCTTTGTGAAGTGATGTGGAACTTGTTTGGGGTCTATCTACTGCGTATTCGTGACCGAACAATGAATAATGATTTACCACGGGTAAAAAAGCATGTGCTTGACAAGTCCCGTAGGGTGCTTGGATTAAAAATTAATGTTTGTTGGATCATGGAATAAGTAAATCGTCTTTTCATGCGTCAACCGAATTTAATGCACTACTACATAACGCTAGTCTGAAGTGGGAATAGAATGTGCACACTTAAAATAGTATAGAGAGCTGTTATAGTTCAGTACGTGCGTGAGAAATAAAAGAACAAAGAAAACACTCACTTGTTTGTTTCTTCATTTGACAGATGTAGCATGTTAATCCAGTTTAGCTACCTCCAGGCTAATCACATGGACACTTCTGCATGTATCCTCACCGCCACGTTGCGGTGATGGCTGTTAAGCACATGGTTAGGTTTGCGTTGTTTCGTCCCCCAAGTGGAACGGGCTTGACCAAGTAATGCAAGTTTGAAAGCGCTACATCAAGACCTTTTTTGTAAACATTAATGTAGAGGCAAGGATAATGTGAGTCGGAAGAGCATTCTAGGCACAGGACATATGGAGGAAAAAAACCTTTCGTCAACAATCAAGTCGACTGTAGTGCGTAGCCAGTTTGAGCTGATGGTCTCTCAGGTTGGTATTTTGGCTCAGCTGAACAGATTGCGACCTGGGTGAGTTGGGTTTGTCAGTATGAAGTAAACCATGATTAGGTCTCCTCACTGACGTCGATATTCGCCACTGTACAATCTCAAGGACTGCAGTCTGCGTTGATAGGAGAGATGAAACAATCCTCTAACGAGTTTGGTCGCTCTACGTTGTGGAGCTTCAAGTACTTCGACGTCGCGCTTTTGCATATTCCAAGTGCGGCCTCACGTAGGTGTTCAGCATTTGCGGAAAAATTGATGGCTCAAAATTACCGAAAGCCCTCCGTAAGAGTCCAAGATGTTGACTGGCTCTTTTGGATGCCTTTTCAGCTTGTCTCGAGCAACCAAGGTCGTCCTGCACGATCACCCCAAGGTCGTTTTCTTGTGAAACACGTTGTAACTGCTAATCCGCAAGTCGATATTCATAGCTTAGCCAATGGCGTACTGGTTAACTTGCGACATTCCTGTACCATTACTGATGTTACGCGTTGGATCATCATTATCATGCGTTTTGAGGCGTGTTTCGCACCGTCGAGAATAAATCATTTATTTTGTTTATTTAGCATCAACCACTACTGTCCAACTACATCGAGCAATCATCAGGTTGATTGTGCATGACCGGTGTTGATGGAAGCCATGCTGCTCCGACGCCAAGAAGTAGCATTTTCCGGGTAGTACATTAGAGCCTCTGCGATGAACGCTTCCATCACCGTCGCGAGCGTACGGAGGCGAGTAATTGGGCGATAGTTTTTAAGATCTGAACAACTACTGCCTTTAAAAATTGGAGTGATAATGCTACGCTTCCACATAGTGGAGACTTGCTGTTCACCAAGGCATCTTTGGAAGAATTCTGACAGTGGCTCTGCAAGCTTGGTGGCCGCAACCTGCAGTGCTTTCGGGCGAATGTTGTCTGCTTCCGGAGAGCTATGATCACGCAGTGGAAATCACTTACTTAGCACAATTGATGGATTGAAAATTACATGTGTAAACAGTGGAGTTGGTAATGCGTATGACGTTATAGGACAGGTAGAGGCTATGAGTTCGCAAATTGTGGCGTATTGTAGCCGCAGGGCATTAGCTGCTTCTTTGGCGCTTTGTACTCTACCGCTTGTTGAGAAAAGTGGGGATGCCATGCTTCACTTCACGAAGATTGCTGATGTGCATATACAGCAGTTTGTTGTTTGCCAGTAAGTTTTGACTAGGCCCGGTTGATAAGTTGTTTTGTCCTCACGGACAAGTGCAGTGCAATGGTTGCGATGGGTCAGTAAATTTTCCCAAGTCTGAGTCGAGGTTAACCTTGTAGCCACGCCATACTGTATCCATTAACGCCAGGCATTTTCGAGTCCTACTCCTTAGAATTTAAGGCACTTTAGCGGGACGAATTGGCTTGGTCGCTGATGCTCTGTTGATGAGGTCGCTGAGTCTTTCAACGGACTCTGTCCAAACGTTATCAAGGAAACTGGTTGAGAATTCCCAAGCAGATGGGTCAAGGAGTTCTTTCAGTACTTGTTAGTGTGTGATTTTATGAGTTAGTTCCGAATGTTCAGTTGGATAATCTGCATAACACACAGTTGAACGTTATCGCTACATGGTTTCTGAGACCTAATGGACTATGCATCATTAAGTTGTCAACCATGAGCACTTCAATCGTGAGCACAAGTTCCAATATGGATGGTTTGTTTGCTGTCCTGAATCTAGTAGGTTTGGTGGCATGATTGTACAAGGGAATGTTAGCAATCAGTTCATGCAAGCCTACTTTGAACGGTTCACTTGTTGATGGCGATACCACCAGATCGCTTAGATTGAAGTCCCCGGAGATGAGAATGTGGCTATACCTAGTGCGTGCTACACTGTTCAGGACACGTATCAAGCGGGAATCCATTTCCGGAGTGGACATTGGGGGGCGGTAAATGACAGAAACGACACACGTCGTTGTGTCTTAGTCGGAGACAGCACCCGAGTGAGTCGTTAACGTGTGTTTCCAGATCATCTACTATTGCACATTCCAGGTCGCTGTGTCAGTAGAGAAGGCCCCCACCTCTGCTGAGGCGTTCGTTCCGGACGAGTGGCGTTCCTGCTATCTCAACCTCAGCATCAATCGCCTCTTGGTGCAACCAAGTTTCGGCAATAGAAATTATGTCCCAAACATTCTCAAGCTGACGTAATCGAAGTTCGGTAATTTTAATGAAGAGCCCTTGGGCGTTAGTGTACATACATGAAAATTTCTCAGGTTTAAGCAGTGTTTCAGAGGTTGTGCAACTCATACGTGCAGTTTAGCCAACCAGTGAGTGACCGCCGACTAATCGCTTTTTTGGTATGTACTTGGAGAGGGGTTCAGTCTTATTCATCGTCTGCCTAATTAATTCCGTGTCTGCTCTTCTACGTACAGTATAAGGTATCTGGTTAACATCATCTTCAACATGTTATATGGGCTCATTAGACACACTACTAGTGCATTGTTCTTTTATGGATCCCATCGCGTTTGGTTCGTTGAGTGATGTATCCTCTCTAGGAGGCATATCGCTAACTGTCTTCAGCCGAAGATCAGATCGTGGTCTGTAACGAAATATGTATCACCATTTTAGCAGTCGTGCTACCATATGTTTGGACTGTAGGACCACCGTCAACACTCTCGGGTTGCATCCTTTGTAGTTCGATGAGG